TCAATTCCCAGCGGTAGTTCTGTGAAATTCATGAGTCTTCAGCCAGCACAAGAACAGAGGTCTTATGTTCAAAACTACCTGTGAGTCTGGTCTGCCGGTGTGTCTTGCTCTGTCATCTGTCCTACCAGTAGCTGCTGTGATGCTAGATCATTGATCTGAGTGCCATTTCCCCCACGAGGAGCACACAGGAGCGCCTGAAATACTAGCCGAACAAGAGGCATTCATTTCAACTTCAGCACAATCTATGCAAATGTTCCATTTTTTACATACATCCCTTGCTCAGTACTCCTACTGCACCAGAACCCCACCTCAGTTCCTCAGATTGTCATCTCCCAGGTTTTATTCTGCCCCCTTTCTTCATGGGGTCAGCTGAGGATGAAAGATGATTTTCTTCCCAAGAAGAGCTTCGGTGTCTTGAGCCTCATAACTTTTTGTGTAATTTCGTGTCAGTTCTCTCTTAGGGCACTGACTCCAAGAGCTGATTGATGTGGATGAGCTTTCTGTAGCCGAGCCCTGACGATTCACTGCTCTGCTCTCCCACATTCTTTTCACTTCAGCTTTCAGGGAAAAAGATTTTTTCCTTTAGGTTATTTGCACTCTAATGATTCCTCCCTTGCAAGACCTACTGGAAGAATAAGTTCATGGTTAGAATAAAGATGCACAGGTCCTTGTTTCCTGGTTTATGACCACACTTCTATATGCTAGAATTCTAGATAGGTCGGAGCGGGGGGCATTTGAACACAGGAGGTCTGAATTCTGGCTTTTGTGTTACTTGTGGTGTGACCTCGTGCATTTGACTTAAACTCTCAGAAAAGTCTGAGACTTTTCATTTGTTAAATGGACATACTGAAACTACCTCAAAGTTTTATTCCTATGAATGAAACAAATGGAATAAAGGTATCTGAAATTGTTAGCGTATTTCCTGGTACTCAACAAATATTGCTCATTTTCTTTCTTATTTAAGAGGGAGACAGGGCGTTTGGGAAAATTCCCAAAGGGGGCATGTTATGCCCTCATAGAATTATGTAGCACTTTATTTTCCTTCTGGGGAAACCCACGCGACTAAGAAGTTATGATGCCTCTTCCATCTGCCCAGTCATGGACATACTAACACATGCAAGGGGGCCCAGACCATGGAAGAGTCCCACAGAGGACTAAAGTATGGTGGGCTAACCATAAAAATATTCGGTATTGAATTTTAGAAGATAAATACTATGTGAGATTCTCTGCCTCTTTGCGTCTGCAAATTTCCATGTCACTGCAATGAAGCAAATTTAAGAAAGGTCTGTTTTAGAGAAAGGTCGAAGCTCAAAATTCTGGAAGAGCTGAAAAATGAGCCCCGCATGTTTTGTGGGAATCCCATCAATAGTAGACTGAATGGCTTGCTCGAACAGCTTTGGTTAGTAGACAACCCTAAAGGCATCCTATTTCATTTTTGAACAGCTGAAACTGTTAGAAATTCCTTTAGATTCAGTCAAACCAACACCTTGTGCTGCAATGTTTATCATTTCAGGACTAGTTAAAGTCAATTTCGACTGTCTCATGTTTTTTCAGAGAAGTACCCAGTGAAAGCTTGTAGATTTGATTTTTCTAATGCTCCTTTGTGTGCACCAGAAGGACCTATCTCATTACAGTGGGCTGCAGCCCTCTGCCCCAGGGTTGTACAGAGTATTTTGCAGTTCATATGGGGATGTGGTTGGGAAGGGGGCTGATGAGGTCGCATCGGGAAGCTCATCTAGTACAAAGCCATCACCACTCCTGGAACAGCACCACAAAGCCCAGGCTGCCCTGTTGGTAGTTCGAACACCTAATTCTTTCAAAGCTTATCGGTAGAGTTCAGTGATATTTTCCCAGAAGATCTCACTTGAAGCAACTTTTTTTTTCAGTTGCTAATTATCTATAGGAGAAAACAATAATTGCATTTCCAAAGGTCTCCTGTATTTTAACATTCAGATCCTTGACATTGATTGCTCTTTGAAATTTCAAATACTGATGAAGGAAATGTGCTTGAAAGCAATGCCATTTAAATCCAGGCCTGTTAAAAGCCTGGCTGTGAGAGGAGTAACTCTTCAACTGATACTGATGTGTTAATGCACTGTATCTGTTACCTGCCCCTAGTCGGAAGCCCCCAGAGAAAGCAGGGATTGGAAGGAGTTGTCAGTAGCTTACTTAAGAGAATAATAACCAAAATAATGAAAATCATCTTTCTAAGGAAGGACTTGTTGGAGATGAGTTTCAGCGAGAAGCAAGTTTGTTAAGTGTGAGGCTAGAATAGGATGCTGAATTCTGATCCTCCCTAGATGGGGAAAGGCAGCTTCCATGTTTTGTTTTGTTTTGTTTTTTTCCCCCATAAAATAATTAGCTTCAAATGTAAAAGAGTTTTCTAATTGGCAGGAAACTTAAAGATAATTTTACTCAGTCTCCTGCATTTTATAGGTAAGAAAATTGAAAGAAATTCTTAGCAGATAATTGGTGCATGCCTATTGTATTCTAGGCACTGTTGTAGGATGTAGAGACATTGTGGACAGGGCAAGGTTGACTGGTTAGACCAATTAGAGAGGGATCATGGACTCGTTAGACTAGTTAGGTCTAGACTAGACCAGAGCTAGATTAGTACCCAGCCCACTGTTGCTTTGACCAGCAGTCCTGCTTCCCTCTCACCAACCCCTTTGGCACCTTGGATTGATTACCCCCCTTCTCTCTTCCACCGTCTCACTTCTGGTTTTGTATTTCTGAGAAGAACCGTGGTTCTCAACATTGTTGGTTTCTCCTCTCCCTCAAATCCCTGTGGGAGTGCACACAGGTAATTTCTCATACCATCTCACAGTATGCACAATTCTCCTGAAGTCCATGGGCATCAGGACAAGAAACTCTGTACCGATGTGGTATATGTTACCACACTAGCCACGTGGAGAACACTTTATATAGGCCATCCACTCTGTATTGTGGAATTTTGTGGGGTCTGCAATATTTTTACTATTGGTGAGAATTTTATCAATCACTCACTGAATCAATCAAATCAAGAAGCAATTAACACACCATTTTCCAAGCACCATGGTAAGATACAGAAAACATAATCCCTGTTTTACCTATAAGGAAATTTACCTATAAGGAAATTACCTATAAGGAATATTACCTATAAGGATAGAGAGATGTCAAATAGCAAGTACCCTCAGCTTTTAAACAGTGAGACCAGGGTTTGAACCCAGGGCTTCTGACTCTAATTCTAGGGCTTTTCTCTCTCAGAGTGGCTACTTTGAAATGTGAGAAATACCTACATTTTGGAGACATTTTTCTGTGTAATTGACCATGAGTGTTTTAGGAGTCTGAAAGTGAGGGAGATCAGTAAGGGCTGGAGTGCATAGGGAAAGGGAAAACTTCTTGGATAGATAATCCATCAAAGGATGGGGTAAGATAGCGATACGTGAAGTAGGATCAAAATGGTTAATTTTAATTTCACCCAGATGTTCCTAGAAGGATGGAAATTAGTTTTAAGTGCCAAAAAGCAAATTGCTGGTATAGTAATTCCTATTGCTTCAAACTGTCTTTTAAATATAGATGTGTATACTTAGGTAATCAGTGTTTTTTTGACGTTTGTTTTTTTGGGTTTTTTTCTACTAACACCTCCTATGTTAAGATGGAGCAAAGAAGAAGGTGTCTGGGATCTGGTTATTTTAGCACACATTTATTTATTTGTTACTTAGAAGTAATAAATGATAATAAGCAACAAACAGTCTCAAGAAACTTAGGTTCTGATTGGGGAGTTATGACTTCAACCGTATCTGAAGAATCCAGAATATAAAAATATAAAATTTATTGATAATTTTGGGTCCTCTCAATGGTTTTCTCAGGCTTCACTTAGTATGTAAAACAAAATAATTATACTAACATTTTTTACAGTGGCTCCCAAATACATTTTCACTTGAAACGTATCACTCCATAATTTTAAGAGGCTAACAACATGGTATATAACCTTTGAAGGTACTATATTTAATCTGTGGTTCTTACTTTATTTGAAGCAACTGCATTGGTCTATAACTTAAGCTCTCAACCTACCTTGATCCAAAGCACTGTTGTGTGAATGCCTCAGTGTATGTAAAGTAATTATAGCCTATATTTATTGAGTACCATTCTAAGTGCTTTATAAGAATTATCTTTTTTTTGAAAGATTTTATTTATTTATTTGAGAGAGAAAGCACGGGTTGTGGGGGGAGGAAAGGAGGAACAGAGGGAGAAGCAGACTCCCCACTGAGCAGGGGCTGGACTCGGGGCTCGATTCCAGGACCCTGAGATCATAACCTGAGCTGAAGTTAGATGCTTAACGACTGAGCCACCCAGTGCCCCTACAAGAATTATCTTGTTGAATCTCCATGCTACACCACTCTTGTCCCTATTCTACAGATGAGAAAGTCAGCAAAGGGGAAACTTAATAGTCAAGTTAAAAGGCAAGATGGCTTGAAGGATAGTACTCTCCAAATACTCAAGTACAAACAGTTTGGTAATAATGACAAATCATTTAATCTTATCTAATATATTTTTTAATCGAATAATCTTTCATTTGCTCATCATTAAAAGAGAGAAGAGTTGAAATTGCAGGAGTATCTTTGGATCACCCTTATGTTTGAACCTACAAACCTTAGTGCTAGGCAGGTGTTTCTCATATAGACTTACTGCTGAGTTTCTACAGTTCTAGAATGTCCATGTTTCGGAAGATTATGGATTGCCTTAGTCTCTATGATAAGAAGTTATTCCATTACATAATAATAATTCTTAAAATATATGAAAATAGGTTACAATTATGTTGTATCTTAATTACCTTGCAACATTACATGCATTATGTGGAAATGCATGATATGCATTTTATGGAAAACAATGCATTACATTATGTCATCATATTTAACTAGCTAGTTGTGAACCTGTTTCCCTTGCTTGTAAGCAAGTTGGTTTCCTGGCAGCTCAGGGAGGTTAAGTTAGTTGCCTAATTCTTTTTTTTTTTTTTCGCAGTTTAATTGCTCTGTGCATTTATTAGCTAATATTAATGCAGCAAGGAGGAAACAATAGCTCACAAGCACTCTACACAATTTCACAAGACACATTGCAGGGAAAAGAGTGACTTAGGAAGGATCAACAGTATCCTAGGGTCTTGGTGGATGCATTCCTGGGGGAGGTGGACCTCTAATTCCTGGTGGAGGGGGTCTCATTCCTGGAGGGGGCATGCCTATTGGCGTCCCTCGAGCAGGGGGAAGCCCAATTGGTGGGCCCATGGGTGGTCTCATACCAGGTAGAGGAGCCATAATGCCGGGAGGTGGTGTTGCTCGGCCCACAGGAGTGGGTGGGGTCCCCTGTCCTGGTGGGTACTGAGTTGGGGCTCCAGCAATGCTGGCAGTGGCAGCAACTGCAGCAGCCGCTACAGTGCCTCTTCCCTGTGGAGTCATTACCTGTTGGGATGGCCCCCCAACCCCTCGGACAGGGCCTGCTAATCCAGCAGGAGCTTGGGGAATTGGAACATCAGCTGGCACTCCTCTGCCAGCTGCCCTGCCAACCCCAGGACCTCCTGCAGCTCCAGCAAGTGGTACCCGAGCAATGCCAGTATCTTTGGGGGGTGGTCCTTCCACAGTCATGGAAACCAAGTTCTCCCCACGTAGTAACACCAGACCCAAAACCCGCTTTCCTTCACGCTCTGGCTGCTTCGCATTCTTTGGCTTGATCTTTCTGAATTCATCACAATCACAGAGGATCAAGTTCATATGCTTCTCAAAAGCCTTAAAGGTGCCAATGAAGATTCGGCCATCTTGCAAGATACATCTCATTCTATAGTCAGTGTGCTGCAGCATCTTGCTGCTCTTTCCCACAGTCATGGTTGCTGTTCCACCAAATCCAATGTCCACAGTAAGGTTTCAGGATCCTTAAGACCTAAGGGAAGGCTACAGATAAAGGTATGACGCAGGTTCTCCTACAAACAATGCAAGCTTGGGGCAGAAGCTTCAAACAGTAGATGGAGCCTGTTTTTTCACTTGGAAATCAGCTACCTGGATGTTCCAATACTGCTTTAACCACCTCTTGGTGTCTCAGCTAAGAATGCCTGTCTCAGTTCCACCTGGAAATCCACCACAGGTATTTGCTGCTGCTGAGATCGCCTTGGGTACAGCTGACACTCTTGGTTGCTCAGTGAGGCTGTCCTTCTACGTTTGACTTGGACTTCCACCTCTGGTACGTGCTGTTCCCTAGTCCGTCTCAGGTGTAAGCGGTCCCTGGCCCGCTCCATCGCGCTGCTAGCTGCTCCTCCGTACAGACCGTCAGGCATCTCCGGCGACCGCTCCACTCTGCCTAGTTGCCTAATTCTTAACAACCAGTAGGTGAAGAGCCAGAATTTAAACCCAGACCTGAATGACTACAGAAACATGCCTTTCACCCCAATTCAAGATTTACTTTTTAACCACACTCATTTTATCCAAGTTTGATTCATAAATTTATCAAATATATTGGAGTCATTGTATATGTGAGAAGTTATGGGCCAGAATAAACTGGATGCACATGACATACCATCATTATCTAAAGAACCATCACCCTGTGCTGCGGTCATATGAAATTATTCATGGAAACTCAGCCAAACAAAACACAGGGGGAACTATTCTTTATACATGTAATAATATGTTAAGTGAGGTTTTCTGTTCTGTTTTGATTGAACACCCAAGAAAATAAATGGCTCTTATTCTCACCTTCCAAAGTGAGGTGTGAATCTACTTAGCCTGAACTACTAAAGAAGATGGTAAAAAACTGGTTGGAGTCTTTAGCTTCCTGCCAAGATGGAATAATAGGGATCAGTTTTACCTTCCTTTCTGGGAGGCTGGGCATAGTGCCTGTTCCCACCAGCCCCCCTGGAAAACCTCATGATATATAAGACTTTGTATAGAGCACTCAAAAGGGTACAGTTCAGCATTGAGGAATGATTAGCCCCAGACTGACCATTAATCTTGTTCCACCTAACAAATCTTTTTTTTTTTTTAAGATTTTTATTTATTTATTTATTTGGCAGAGAGAGAGAGCACGAGCACAAGCAGGGGGAGCAGCAGGCAGAGGGAGAAGCAGGCTCCCCGCTGAGCTGGGATCCCAGTGTGGGGCTCAATCCCAGGACCCCAGGGTCATGACCTGAGCCAAAGGCAGATGCTTAACAGACTGAGCCACCCAGGCGCCCCACACCTAACAAATCTTAAAAGCAAGACCTGAAAGGGTCAAACCATTTTCAAGTTATTTAGCCACAATAAGATGCCACTATACAACTATTTGAAAGACTAGGAAAAAGAAATCTGACCATACCAAGTAGTGGTGAGGATGTGTAGGAATTAGAACTCTTATATACCACTGGTGGGAATATAAGATGTTATACTGACTTTGAAAAATAGGCAATATGTTATAAAGTTAAATGTGCCCCAGCCATTTCACTGCTTGGTACTTGCACAGGAGAAATGAAAAATTGTCTTTACAAAGACTTATACTTGAATACAACCAAAATGCCCATTAATAAGTGAATAAAATAAACAAATCATACAATGCAATACTGTTCAGTGATAAAAAGGAGGGAACTATTAAACATTGAAATGAATGAATCTCAAAATACTCTGCTGAATGAAACAAGTCATACAAAGAAAGAGTACATACTTGTATAACAATGTGAATGTGCTTAATACCAATGAAGTATATACTCAAGAAGGGTTGACATGGTAAATTTTATGACATGTATATCTTTCAATAAAAAAACAGTAATATACTGTGTGATTCCATGTATATACAAATCTAGAAAATCAACTAATCTATAGTGACAGAGAGCAGATCAGTGGTTTATGGAGGGACCAGGAGGGAGAAGGAAAGATTACAAAGGCGGATGAGCAAACTTTTCAGTGTGATAGACATGTTCATTATGTTGACTGTAGTGATGGTCTCATGGGTGTGTGTATATATATATGTATTTATATATGTCAAAACTTGAATTGTACACTTTAAGTATGTGCAATTTATTCTACATCGTTATAGTTCAGTAAAGTTACTCTTTTTTTAAAAGTAACTTCAGACGATTACCCCCTCCACTTTTAATCTAAGAGAATAAAAATGCCAAAAAGGTTTAGAGATTAAAAAGAGGACTTCTTTAGAACTTCTGAATGTGCTCAGAATCCTCTTCTCTATTGAAACAGGGTGGGGGTGTCCTTATCATCCACTCAAGAGAAGCTTCAACAAATAATTTGGAAAGCTTGATATGCAGCTCCTGGATTTTGGGGGGTGTGTGTGCTGTGGATTGGTTTTTGACTCACTTCTGAGACATTTTGAGAGGAGAGATTGGCTGAATGACCTGAGTTGGCAGCAGGAGGCTGAGTTTTATTAAGTAACTGCACTGGTATAGATTTGGGGTCAAAATTATGCATTTTGTCTGAGTCCATCTTATAGTATATTTACTCAAGAGATTGTCCTATAGGGTGATGGGGACCCAACACAGAGATTCAGAGGTAGACCATGGAAACCCAAGGGCTGAAGAAGAAATCTTAACTGGCCATCTGAACGACTCATCACTCCTATCTCCTACAAAGTAGGAGTCTCTAAGTAATCTTCAATGAACCTATTGAGAAAAGGGCTCTCATACCAAAACTGAATGAGAAAATCAATGCCAGCTTTAATTATTATATTAGAAGGAACATATTAGTTACTGATTCAGAGACATTTTTGAAACCTAAGTGACCTGAGTTTATATTAACTGTTTTAAAATGTATCCAGGATTTGTTTTAATCAGGTATGGTAAGGCATAGAGACATGGAAATGATTGTCATGAAGGAAACATTTTTATACTCACAGGTCCCTGGAAACAGAAGGCATGGCATGCTATACAGGGCAACAAGAAGAAGCAACAGGGTTGGTCAGAAAGTAGAGGAAGTGAAGGGAAAATATGGGCAAGAACACCCATGGTGGTTTCCATAGGAAAGATAAGACAAGACAAAGAAAGCAGGTTTATTATTAGCAAATTTGAATAATTTCAGAGGCCTTGGGGTGTAGTGGCTCCTACTTGTCTGGTACCTGGCACTGGGGTGATTAGGGCAAGTGGATAGTGGCTTGGCATGAAAGAGCCCTGTGAGATCCCAATAAAGGAAGTGGTTGGGGGTAGGAGCTCTGATTGATTGTTTTGCTTTTGAAGAGTATGCTGTTGGGTATGTGCTTACTATCTCTAGAAATTAGCTGACCCCAGGAGGGATAGTCCCTTCCAGTGTCAGTAAGGCCTCAAGATGTCAAAGCAAACAAAAAATAAAAAACATGATTAATTCACAACTAAGAGTGAGAAGATCAATATATTGTCAAAGAATTAGATAGGCCTATGGATAGAATGAACCATAGAGCAGGTTTAATGAGCAGTAGTGCTTTTGGAAGGATTAAAAAATATATTTTTATAAATTCGGGTGCTGAAACTTTCCTGTGCATACATATCACCAGGGATCTTCTTAAAATACAGATTCTTATTCAGTAGGCCTGGGTAGGACCTGAGAGTCTGCATTTCTCACAAGCTATAGTGCTGCTGGTGTAAGGTAAGCCATCATATAGCAAAGTTATAAATGGTTGAATGAACAGTGGTTAAGAATCTAGGTTAAAATTTTGGTTCTGCTACTTGTTAGTTGGATGATTCTGGATGAGTTATTTAACATATAGAAGCCATATATTCCTTATACATAAAATGGAAGTAATAATAATCTACCACAGAAAATGTTGTGATGGTTACATGACATATTACTTAATGGTACTTAATGAAAGGCAGTCAAAAATAAGACGTGGCAGGGGAGCAGAGCAGGTGGGATTTCTAAGGAAATTTAGGGTTTCCTAAATTGCAAAGGTGGGATAATTTAAAGACTCCATTCTTGCAAGGATCCCTTTTGCCATCTGTCTGATAAGGAGTTATTTGGCTTTTGTATTTCTAGTGATGGGAAGAATTCACAGGGAGGCCATTTTTTTCCTAGACTGCTTGGTTCATTTCAAAGGGTTTTTACTATGTGGAGATAAGATCAGCTGCTACCAGTTCTATCCCCTGAGGCAATGTACAAGAAGAGAGCCCCACCCTCCCAACCCCTTCTCATTTTTCTGATATATCCAGAGATTCACATTGAACCAAACCAACTCAATCATTCACAATAACTCTATTGTCTGTGGTTGATACTGACATCCTTTAGTAGTAAGAGCTAAATCAGGATTATTGTTCATCTCCCCCATACCTCATTATAAAGAGGGGTTCAGACAGAAGTATAAACATATTTTTTAACAAACATGCACAAAAAACAGTCATACAATCCACAGCAAACTCAATCCATTCCTGGCCTCTAGTCCTTGTAAAGGTTCCAGTAGCACTTTGCATGAAAGAGTCACTTGGTAGAGACAATATTCCAGTGGTAGGAATTATCTAACCTTCTAGATAGAGTAGTTACTGACTCCTTTGAGAAGTACTCCTACACTCCTAGGACACAGAGGTTGAGAATCATGTGCCCAGCACACTGTTCAGAAGAGTATAGGCTAAATTGAGTCTTATATCTTGTTCACTCCTACAAGGGGAACAGGATTTAAAAATATTTGTGGATTTGAATTATCCTTTGGTTGATCATAAGGAACAGAAACTCTTCACCCAGTTTCAGTGAAGGAAGATTTATGATCAGAGAACAGGGACATCTCACAGAATCCAAGGGTGGAGATCACAGCTAAGGCTGATAAGACTTGTGCTGGGAAGTGTCCACCTTCAGAGACCAAGTCCACCTCATCTCCCTTGGTCTGGTATCACATGACTTCTTGTCCACCCCTCCTCCCTGACCGTTTGCTCCACATTTTCTTTTTTCTTTTTTTTTTTAAAGATTTTATTTATTTATTTATTTGAGAGAGAGAGAATGAGAGAGAGAGAGAGCACATGAGAGGGGGGAGGGTCAGGGGGAGAAGCAGACTCCCTGCTGAGCAGGGAGCCTGATGCGGGACTCCATCCAGGGACTCCAGGATCATGACCTGAGCCGAAGGCAGTCGCTTAACCAACTGAGCCACCCAGGCGCCCCCACATTTTCTTTTTTCTACAGAATATATCTTCCATTTCACTTTACCATGACCCATCATGACCATCTCCAAACTGTACCTACAACCACTGGGTCTGTGTTACTTCCAAACCAGGACACTCAGCTAACCAACTATCGTCTGTACCCCACTTGCAAGTTCTGAGTATGGGAAGTTGATTGACACAACT